GTTTCTCTTAACGTTTGTTAGGTGTAGATGCAGCTTTAAAAAAATCAAATGTTTGATTAAAATGAACGGAAAGCGTATACATACATAAATTATAACTGAATCAAAAACATTACGGACGATAAAAATATTGGATTCGGATATTTTAAACGAAAATATGTACATATTATGAATTGCATGTAATGTGTGAAAAGTGGGTGACGATGGAGTCAAGACGATCATGAGTTGAATTTCTAAACGACCGCTGTGCACTGTGCCCGTCCCGAACTTAACGTTTTTCGTACAGTCCGTACTCGAGTAGTTAAAATATGTTAATTGTTGTACGTGAAAAAAAAATCCGTCTATTAAATTAATCATTTGGTGCGTGCACAATAATATTGTCGGTCACCTCCTCCGTCGCGCATTGAAACTTGCGAAAGAATCCGGTTTTTGGCATGTGCGTCAGGTGTATTAGTAGTATAATGTACTCGTATTAAACACAGAGAACTCATGGAGAGACGCAGGCATTCATAAACGACTTATGAGTGGTAATACGGCCTTCGACCATATGTGTATAAGTATATATACAGTAAACAGAACGAGAGAGAGAGAGAGAAAGAGAGAGAGAGAGAGAGAGATTGTTTAGAGAAGATGGAAAACGAAGGAGATGAATGTGTGTATGTATAGTACACACGTATATGAATAATAAAGAGAAAAAAAAAATTATATTTTCGATTTGCCGACAACGGATCGCGGAGAACGTTGAACCTGTCATATACGTATATATATAACAAGTATAAAATAATTCGCATGTAATAATATTACAGATATCTATAGTACAGTATAGACATAGGTGAATAATATACGCTGCGACTGCTGTAGTGGTGTTGTGTACATTATTACCATTAAAAAACGATTACATAATCGATACATCTGCATTGGACTAAGTACTTGTATATGTATATATGACCCACAATGATAATATACCTATATTATATCGATGTTTATTATTTTATGACAAGCGCGCGTCCCCAGTTCCGATGTGTGAATTTCAATGATACCTGATTTACATACTAACATTCGACTTAGCAACAATTATATTATATCATTATTATAACGTATACTTATACATACTTCTGTAGGTTATACATAAATATAATATTGCCTATTTGATATTTTTTATACATACATATATTTCTCTTACTCAATTAAATTCCGTTAAATGCGATTGAGCACGGCTCTCATTTGCTATATACATAATTTGCACCTTTCTATATACATGTATATATTTATACTCACACATTTGAATACATATATAAATACCTCCTATTTACATATCTCGTATACATGCGTATGTACTCGTTTATAATCTAGAACGTTCTTAAATTTATTATTTTTTACCACACGATTATGTACAAAATCGTTTGTCCAATTCATATCTACAAGTTAAAAACACGATTGAAAGAGCTTCAGAAAAAATCCAAATCAAAAAAATACACGTGCCTTACACGAAATGAATACTACAGAAAATGAAATTTTTTATTTACGTTTTATCTTAGATATCAATTGTTATTTCACAACCGATTTGTATAAATATTTTAAGTATTATTTCATGTACAAATAAAAAATAATACACAAAAGTACCTTTTCTTTAAATGAAAGCATATATAAATGTTATTATTTACACATGATATTACACAAACAGCTTTGACTTTCATTTTTTATTACTAAATATACAATCATATATATATATATATATATATATAAAGATTCTCATTGTTCAATAACCAATGTAATGGTATAACGCTCGTAGCTATGCAAATCATTTAATTAATTTACCATTGATTTGCACACTTGACTTTTACTACTATTAATATTAGTATAAAAATATTTGATTTCGAGTGGAGGTAAGGTCAAAAATATCAATACCTACGCTTTAAAAATGTACACATTTTTTATGAACATATTATAGCCTATCTATAATGATTTGTGTGCAAGTTATATTCTATTTAAAAGAGTACAATTGATCTAAAAGTGTCTATAATCTTACAAAAGAAAAACCGATTACTACATTTATCCAAGGTATTAAATTATCTTTTTTTGTTAGCTGTCAATCAGTAGGTATAAAGTTTCTATGTTTCGTATACATATTACGATATAATAAAGCACAAGAATGTAACACTAAGACGTGGTGTTATCATCATTTTTAGGTAAAATATAAACATAAAGATGTAAGTCCTCATACAGTGTTAATTGAAGTATCTCTAAAGAATGAAAACCACAAATTTAATTTATCTAACATATTTCAATACTAACTATGTGCACAAAATAAAAAAGAATATTAAATTATATTATCGCATTCAAACAATAGATTTTTAATTACTAATAAAAATAAAAACATTAAATGATTAAAGAAATATTTATTCTTTTATTTAATTACATTACACAAATGACTTTAGTATGAAAATAATAATTATTAATAATCATTTGTCAGTACAGTAAAAAAATTGATTTTTACTCAAACCTTATTTTATGCATTTTATTTATTATTATGAATTTCTTAAGAACAAATAATACTGAAGGTATGTATTTATTAACACTGTGTTGTGTAAAATAAATAATTATAAAATATTTTTAATATTATTGGACTTCAATTGAAATGAGGTACTGGTTAAATGCAGTTTATCCGTGTATTGTGTATTGCATATCTATTAAACATATCTACAAGTTCCAGTAATCAGTATATTACGCAGTCATTATGTTCAAACATTCATACAGAAATATTTTTAAAAATAATTTAAATTGTAAAAAAATGCACAAAGTTTTTAAAAAAATAAAGAATAAATACGGTATATGCGAACACTATACGTATGTATATAACTTAATACATTTCCCATGTAAACTGCATGCGAATGGTTTTATTACACGAATCAAATCGTATAATTTATATTATAGTTGAACTAAAAACAAGTTGTTTTCAAATAATATCGTGTAAATTTAGGTATTTAGTAAGTATTATATGGACAAGCACAGTGGGGAATGAAAAATTTTTTCTATGGAGGAGCAAACTTTTTAAAGTATTTATTTAAATTTTTCATTACATTACGCAATACAGATTAAGGCTTGAAATTTAAATTATAAATTGCAATTGATAAAATAAATAAAACTGTACGTGGCATATATACGAAAAAAACGGTATTGCGTGTAAAATGCTTGTTGTTAGTTTTCGAAGTGAAGATCGAAACTAATAAATACACCGTTTTATACAGATATATAATTATATTTCGATATATGATAGAATAAAAATTCATGGTCTAGTTTTAAAACAATGGCAGACAAATTGCATCTTTTAACGAGTTAAAACCGCTGTCGAAATAGATGAGCGATGTTCTCTCGTGCAGACATAAAGTGAAACAACCGGGTGTACATAATAACTAGCTCAACAAAATTTTCCCTTTTAAATTTAACTAATTTTCGTTACGCCAATTATAGAATGATCAGCGTCTTCTTTTGTCCTATAATATCATTTTTTCGATTCATTTCGTTCGCAGTTATAAAAAATATACACATGTAACTGTATATTACATGTTTACATGTATATTTACTAAAGGAAGTGCCTTTTATTTTGATTTTTACACGGTTTCAGTGATTAATAATGTACACGTGTGCCTCAAAAGACGCATTTCTATCAACAGTCCACAAATCCATTTAATGTAATATATTATACAATGTGTGAATGCAACATACTGTAAAATTGTCTGCTCGCAGCGTTGATCGGATATACGTATATATCTGTATATGTGTATATGTGTATGAGTGTAAGTATGCTTATATATATACATATATATACCTACGAGCAATACACGCGTTATAGAGTGTTCATACGTACAGTATATTATTTTGCAAAGAATATCCGAATTCCAACGGGAACTGTGGATTTTCAGAAAAAATATAAACGATTAACAACGTTACGATTAATTTCCCTTTTAAATACAGATCAGAAAGTTGAATTACATTTCATTAATCTCAAAAATAAAACGTAAATTACATACTTGAAGAATATTGCCGTTATCCGTCAAACCATTAATTCAGTACGTACCCATCAATTACTACAAAGATGGTATACTAGTAATAATAGATATAAAAAAAAATGTAATAAAAAGTTTAGATACCGAAATCAAATTTTAGATCTTCATTCTAAAGCATATTATACTAAATATATGAAATACATATAATTAGAATTGAATTTCCGTATTAATTTATTTTATCTTAATTACCTTCTTTATTTATTAATGCGTGGCAATTAATTAATTATTTTATTAATTAGTGGCGATGGCGTAATTTTGGAGAAGAGCAACTCATGCATTTGTCACATTCTAGAGCTAAGTTAATCCAAAGTCAGCACATCATTAAAATATAAATAAGTTTTTTATAAACTACCATTGACATGTTGCAAATCAGTAAAATGAGACGTGTACTAAATGGGTACTTATGTACAAAGTACAAACCATATTTTTGGACTGGTTTACGCCACCTGCTCCAACGTTAATCGATAATTTGATAAAATGAGCCACCGAATCAACAATTTGATAAGAGAATTCCGAATGCCCTACTTTAGAAAAAACTGAAATAATGCTACTGATTAGTGGGCGAACATTTATTGAGATCGACATGCAATACAGTATTAAGTTAAGAATAAGATATGTTAAAATAAAAAAAATAAAAACACATAGTTAGTATGAGATTACACTAGGTATTTAATTGAAATCGAAAAAGGAAGGAACTAGATTGGAGTTTGAGTCGATTCGTTTTAATGATTATATTAACTTAAGTAATCGGTGGTCGGCAATGGTATGGATTGTTAAATGTATGGTGGAGGAACGAGCTGCGCGTTGTGGTACCTAATACATAAAAATAATCAGAGAACAGGTATATCACCATTCAGAAACTCATTATGTGATCTTGTGGGACTCATCTCGAGCGGGTACGGGTGAAAACAACAAAACGAACAAAAATCAACTCACTTGTCCGTCGTCCGGTGGCTGTGTGGAAATACCATGAGAATAAAAAAAGTAAAGTAAAATGTATTTTCGCGTGTCCACGGGCCTCGTGCGATCGATGGGGTACGATCATGGATTAAACAGTTTACCACGATCCACACCGAGCTGATGAGGAAATCGATCAACGAAGAAAATGAAAATCGCACCGTCGTCAATCTTTGTACACTATATTATGATTTTTGTTAATGGTGTTATTACGGTCGTTCGCGAGATAAATACACGTGATACTGCGAAATCGCACGCTTAAAATTACAACAACGACGACAGTATCATTCGATATAATATATAATTTAACATTCGTTGTATCTATATATATATATATATATATGCACAAAATAACGCCGGTGTGCGTGTGTTCAAGTGCGATGCACCTATACGATCTATACGATAACTATACACGATTTATTGTACGCACAACATCCGCCAACCGTCAATCACGATCGATGTCGTCTTAGTCGTCGGTCGATCGAGATTTCCGATATTATCGTGCGAGACTTCAACACCTTACGTTCCACTGCGGAGACTTAGGGGCAGTGGCATTTGCGAATTATACGCGACGAGTGAGCAATTTTTTGTTAAATGAAAACCAATTGGCACAACGACGACAACGATGATAATTATATGAAAATAAAATAAGATCATTTAAATAAAGCCATACCGTGTATAGTAATAATATATCGTAACCGAAAAAACAATCACCTGAACCGCACGACCTCTTGTCGACACCAATTGACATCAATTCCATCTGGTTCTCGTTAATAATTTTTGTATCATACGTCGTCAACAGACAGTTGAATGAGTGGGTGTGTGTGCTTATATGACTAAGTATCAGTTATACACGTATATACGCGTACGGAATGAAATTATACATGTATGTGTGTTGGCGCGCATATACTCGTATTTAAATATATATATTATATAATAGTTAAACATAAATTATGAGTTCAAGCAAATAATTGGCTTTCATTACACTTAAATGTTATAACACACGTATAGGTATATATAGATATTTTTTTATCGTTTTAAATAAAGTCGAGTAAATAAAACAGAATTCGAGCGAATCAAAGTTTGTACGAAGCTGTACGGTCTTGTGTAAATAATAATAGCGGAACAAATTGTCGTGTAAATTTAAATATTAATCATTCACGAGTTATTTTTAATGATTTTGATAAAATTTATATTCATGCGCACAGATGAAATAATTTTACGATTTTAAATCAAATGACAATTGAATTCTTGTGTATATTATATTTCAATTGTAATAGTTATACAGTTTTCAATTAGTTTTTGTAGTAAAAATATTATTTTTAACATACCCATTTTTAAAATTAATAATTTTAATAATAGTTTTTCGGTGAAAAAATTTTTTTATGATTATCCGGAAGTAGGCTAGGATTTTCAAAAGAACTTTAAATGTATTTCTTTAAAATAATAAAAAAACAACTATCCCCCAGCTATACTTAATTTGAGTAATATTCTTTTGTCCAAATCCAATTATACCGTATCACTACTTACCTACATAATTACTTTTATAACATCAACAACTCAGCTGAGTTAATTACCTAATTTGAATTTTAAGTTTAGTGAAATATTTAAAACATAATAGAATTTTGACCCCTATTAAATTTTACGAGACAATATTTTGTAACGAATTAAATATAAAAATTTGATATATTTTTAACGTTCTTTACAGTTAGCTGGTCGAAATAAAAAATAAAAATAGGTCATAGGTAGGTACACGCTGAATTTCAACAAGAAAATATTCAGATCCTTAGCGCCTCTTCAAACACAAAATTCAGACTTCTAAGAAAAACCGTCAAAGTAATAATAACTTAGTTGTTATTTACATCCAACAAAAATAAATAAATAAAATAAAATGTAGAAAAATATTTAATTATTTGAATAATTCAGAAAAATATATTGCCGCGTATAATATCTATACACTATGTTAAACGCGTGTTTAATTAATACAATTAAAATGAGAACATTAATGTTAGCAAAAAGTTTGAAATATTAAAACTTTTTAAAAAACTTACAAATTGTATGATATTGTTAAACAATAAGCATCTAACTCGATGATATTCTCTTTATTATTATGCTGTCTACCCAAATTATGGTTGTTGTAGATATTTGTGGTATAGAATAAAATAACAACTTTAATACGTAGATTTTATTTCTTATCGTTTTTATTTGTACATTTTTAAAACACACCAACGATTCAATAAAAAAAAACAGCATAAGAAATTGATGTTTTTAATTTATACCAATATGATTAAATGAACACCTTGATTAATACATGTTTAGACAGTACACAATAAATAATAATATACTAAAATCAGAACGATACAGAGATTAGCTTGATGAATGCGTAAGGATGAAAACCTTGACTTCTAAGACCACAAGACGTTTGTACTTAACCATAGGTATTGACCACTAAATGATAATTATTTATAATATTTTAAAGTTATGATTTAATAACATAAGTATAATTTAAAATTTTTCTCATATCGGTCAACCGCGTTACTCAAGAAATAATATGTTAGATTATGGTATTTATACTATTTATTTATTTTATAATTTCATAAAAATATTAAGATAAAAGTTAAAAAATAATGTTTTAAGAATAAAATCTGCTTGAATTTTTAGAATCAGTGAGCAAAATATTGTTATTGTTGTTTAAAATTGAATTGTCGAACGTCAAAAGAAGGATAAGAGTTCTAAAAATAAACTCAACTTTTTTTTAAAACTAAAACACACACACACATATAATTGTAAATCAATAATATTAAAACAAATTCCTAAACTGCAGGTGTATCATTATTATTAACAATTTACTAAACAACAAGATGTAAATATATAACAATTTTAACATTAATGATTTTATATTTTACTAGGTACATTCAAATATAATTACAGCATTTATTGAGTAGTTAAAAGCGCCTATTTCAAAGAGATCAAGGTTATAAATACATTGGAAGTGAAGTACTAAACATTACAATGTATTAAGTCATGCAATATTTAGTTAATTTTAAAATGGCCGCCATAAAATTGTTACGGTACAACGATTCTTTGGTTCTAATTTAGATATTAATTTAAGCTTGGGAAGATTTTCAAAGAAATAATAATATCAATATTATCATCTCATTAAATAGTTAAATGTTTAACGAAATAAATTGAAATAACATTGAATAATGTTTTTCAGATAAACATGATATTGTTATACTACTGTTGGCACATTGACAATAAATAAAATAATAGCCCACATACAGATATATATATTAAGTGGCAGGAGTAGATTAAAAAATGACTGTTTCTCAAAAATATTTTGAACTCAACAATATTACCCATAGTATTATAAAATAATATTGTAAATATGAAAAAAAAAAATTATAGACGGGGAACTCAAGTAATTCAGCTAATATATATATATAAAATTAATTATATTTAAATTTAAATTATATAATTATATATATAATTTTAATCTAATATTAAAATAATAATACGATTTCAATTTATTTATATAGATATTAATTTCCTATATAGTGTTAAAATTAAAAAAATTATCACAGTTTGGTAGTATGTGTCCATGTAAACTAATTGTGAAAAAACTAAGATTTAAGACATTTTAAAACATACAAGTATGCAGAAGAACAATTATTTGCATTTAAATAATGTTTGAGTTATTACATTCTTTTTTTTTACACTAATGATTTGATAAAAGGATTTACAGAAACTCACACGAAAAAAATTTTGCTTTCACAAAAATGTGCTTTATTAAATAATTTTCATAAGAATATAGTAAATCAACAACAAATATACATACTCGTAAAATACAATATTATAGTATTCACATACCATGGTATATAATGAATACGAAAAAAGTGTAATTTGTTCGAAATAAATGATCTATAAAAGGATAACATTGTTTGTTTACGGTATCATTTTTTGATGACTCGTGCGATGAGAGATAATTTTCTCAAGAAATCTGTACTCAAAAAGTATTTTGAAAATGTAAAATTACCGAGACTAATTTTTGTTTTCTGTTCCTGTAACTTCTGAAACTACTATAATAGCAAAACGTTTAATTTTCTTTTAACACTGGTGAACAACATTGGTAAATATTCATACTATCGGAAAATTATTTCAGAAGTAAAATTACGTTTAATTTGTATAATAAAATAAATATTATTAGAACGATAAAAAATTACCAACATTATTTTATTCAAATTGTATGTGAATGCATTTAATTATGTTTATACTTTTTACAGCTTACGCATTGATAATTATATTACTATAGTAAATCCATAGTTTTTTAAAACTAAAACCAGGACGAAATGTAATTTATTATTATAATGCGTATGGGTTGTAAGTTGTAAATCGGGTGACTATTGACCAGACCGTTAAAAATTTTGTTTGGCGTTACATAAAAAAAAAATAATATGTTGAAAATTCGATCTAAGGTGATGTCATCAGATTTCGACCAGTAAAATTATAGTATAGTTTTTGTAAATTACTTTGAACATTATACTATTAATAAATTCGAAATTCTTAATATAATATCAACATCTAGGTCTACTTTAATTTAATAATTACATTTTCTAATTCATCATATAGTTACGATGTTAATTCACTTAAATACTTAGAAATTACTCAACGAAATTATCTAAAAAATTATCTAAAAATTATCCAAATACACATATCGCCTAGAAAGTTCATTTCATTAAAGTATCACCTAACAGAACAAAATTATGGTAAAAAAATATATGATCATTTTGCAATTATAAAAATGAATATTGAAAACGTGTAAAATATCAAAATCACGCAAATACCAGAGAACTTTATATTATGACACATTTAACTCAGCGGTACATGTCAGCAAAATTCCACATATCTTTGTGTACCCAACTATGTTATATCACTTTATAATAAAAACTGTATTTGATACTTTTATACTACTAGTTCATATACCTTATGCCTTTTTTAAATGAAAAGAATGGACATCGTAATTAATATTCAAATATTGTAATAGAGATTATATTGATAACGAAAGACTTTAACTCGAACACGGAGTGAGTTACATATTTTATGATAATTACGCGAGGGCATCTAAAAGAGGGGAAGAATCAAACAGCCAAGTATTTATCATTCTAATGAGGCACTATAGTAATAGAGTTAGTGGCATATTTATAGGAGATGTTCTAAGGATTAATATACCCTTCAATATTTTTTTTTTTAAAGCACTTTCAAATAGTCAAATATTGAATTGATTATCCTACATTTTTTTTACAAGAAAATTAACACTAATAAGGGTTTTTTATCATTAAGTTAAGTCCATATAAAACTTTAGAATTATAACCGTTGCCATTCACAAATAAAATATTACTCTTATATAATAGGTAGTTGATTATAAATTTTAACAATTTTCAACAAATATTATTTAACAATATTTTGGGTACTTATTGTGGGAGAACGAAGCTTATTATATGACTTTGCGATTAAACTATGATAATATTTTTGGAGAAAAAAGTATTGTGGAGCCACCCCACAAATAAACCCAAA